TCCTTCTCCTTCTCCTTCTCCTTCTCATCCTTCTCCTTCTCCTTCTTCTCATCCTTCTCCTTCTCCATCTTCTCATCCTTCTCCTTTTCCTTCTTCTCATCCTTCTCCTTCTGCTTCTCCTTCTTCTCATCCTTCTCCTTCTTCTCATCCTTCTCCTTCTTCTCATCCTTCTCCTTCTTCTCATCCTTCTCCTTCTCTTTCTTCTCATCCTTCTCCTTCTTCTCATCCTTCTCCTTCTTCTCATCCTTCTCCTTCTCCTTCTTCTCATCCTTCTCCTTCTTCTCATCCTTCTCCTTCTCCTCATCCTTCTCTTTCTTCTCATCCTTCTCCTTCTTCTCATCCTTCTCCTTCTTCTCATCCTTCTCCTTCTCCATCTTCTCATCCTTCTCATCCTTCTCCTTCTTCTCATCCTTCTCCTTCTGCTTCTCCTTCTCCTTCTCCTTCTTCTCATCCTTCTCCTTCTTCTCATCCTTCTCCTTCTTCTCATCCTTCTCCTTCTTCTCATCCTTCTCCTTCTTCTCATCCTTCTCCTTCTCCTTCTTCTCCTTCCCTTCTCCTCCTTCTCCTTCCTTCTCCTTCTTCTCTCATCCTTCTCCTTCTTCTCATCCTTCTCCTTCTCTCATCCTTCTCCTTCTTCTCATCCTTCTCCTTCTTCTCTTCTCATCCTTCTCCTTCTTCTCATCCTTCTCCTTCTTCTCATCCTTCTCCTTCTTCTCATCCTTCTCCTTCTTCTCATCCTTCTCCTTCTTCTCATCCTTCTCCTTCTCATCCTTCTCATCCTTCTCTTTCTTCTCATCCTTCTCCTTCTTCTCATCCTCCTTCCTTCTTCTCATCCTTCTCCTTCTTTCATCCTTCTTCTCTCATCCTTCTCTTTCTTCTCATCCTTCTCCTTCTTCTCATTCCTTCTCTCCTTCTTCTCATCCTTCTCCTTCTTCTCCTTTCTCCTTCTCATCCTTCTCCTTCTTCTCATCCTTCTCCTTCTCTCATCTTCTCATCCTTCTCCTTCTTCTCATCCTTCTCCTTCTTCTTCATCCTTCTCCTTCTTCTCATCCTTCTCCTTCTTCTTCTCATCCTTCTCCTTCTTCTCATCCTTCTCCTTCTCCTTCTTCTCATCCTTCTCCTTCTTCTCATCCTTCTCCTTCTCCTTCTTCTCATCCTTCTCCTTCTTCTCATCCTTCTCCTTCTCCTTCTTCTCATCCTTCTCCTTCTCCTTCTTCTCATCCTTCTCCTTCTCCTTCTCCATCTTCTCATCTTCTCATCCTTCTCCTTCTTCTCATCCTTCTCCTTCTTCTCATCCTTCTCCTTCTTCTCATCCTTCTCCTTCTCCTCATCCTTCTCCTTCTCCTTCTTCTCATCCTTCTCCTTCTCCTTCTTCTCATCCTTCTCCTTCTCCTTCTTCTCATCCTTCTCCTTCTCCATCTTCTCATCCTTCTCCTTCTCCTTCTTCTCATCCTTCTCCTTCTTCTCATCCTTCTCCTTCTCCTCATCCTTCTCCTTCTCCTTCTTCTCATCCTTCTCCTTCTTCTCATCCTTCTCCTTCTCCTTCTTCTCATCCTTCTCCTTCTCCTTCTTCTCATCCTTCTCCTTCTCCATCTTCTCATCCTTCTCCTTCTCCTTCTTCTCATCCTTCTCCTTCTCCTTCTTCTCATCCTTCTCCTTCTCCTTCTTCTCATCCTTCTCCTTCTCCTTCTCCTTCCTGATCTCCAAGGGCATTTAAATTAAAGGTACAGTGTTCTGCACTAATTTAAAGGCTCTCTGAAGCCTAGAAACCCTTTTTATAAGCCATCTTCGTAGCGAAGAAATTCGCATCGAATCGAATTTCATACTGGAATTCGCCGAATCAGCCGAATCGAATTTTTCAATACTTCGCTCATCTCTAATAATTATCCTAATTTGAATAATAATGGTCTTATAAGAGAAGAGGTCTCTTTAACTGGAGATTGCAACTTGAGTCCTGTGATGTTTAATATGGTGTGTCTGTTGTCTTCTGCTAGCAATGTGGAGCCCATAAACAGTAGTGAATACTGGTAATTCAAGGAAGTTAAACAAAGCAAAGATCTCCTGATATTGAGTTGTAAAGGTATCTGCATGCAGTGTCTCTAGAGTGATGACAGAAAGAAGTTAGGCATCTGCCCGCTCACAATCCCATGGATAGCACTGCCTCCTAGGAACAGGGTTCTTGCCCAGGCTCTTGGCTGTTTGCAGGGAAGTGCAGAGTAATCGCCTGACAGCCTGTCAGCCTGTCAGCAGGGAGCAGAGATGTCTGGGTGAAGACCAGACAGTGACAGTCCCGATGCAGAGAAACTGATGCGACTCCGGCGTGGCGATCAGCATCACTGTGGAGCTAAACTGATGTGCAGAATTCCACAGCAGTAAGCCAACAATCTGTCTCTGGAGGAGAACGACAGCTCCCCTGTGTTCAGCTCTGAATCCCTTAAATCCGGGAGCAGAACAAGGGTTTCAAGTCTCCATTTTCCTCTGGGCTACGCATGCACCCTTCCATTTTTAGAAATTAGTTCTTAATTTGAGTAAACTGATATCTGATCGGTAGCTAGAGGTCATTGCTACTTAGTACTTTACTAAGTACTGCTCTTTCCTAAAGCCCTATATACACGATCAGAAAAATTGAATGAAAAATGCCGCTTTCAAAGCAATTGTAGGATAATATGATCATTAGTACACTGCAATCGTTTGAAATTACTCAAAATGGAAAAGCACAAAAAATTCCAGTAAAATATCAGATAGTATGATTTTCGTTTAACTGCTTTCTGATTGCCCTATAGCAGAACTACTGCTACAGGGTGGCCAGGATACGCAAAATCATGTATATACCTACCCGTGCTGCTATTGGCTGCTATCACCGGATCACAGCCGCCGATTGTCGGCCAGGACTCAGTGATTGTTGGCGCAGCTGACAAGGGAGAGGTCTGTATATAAACAATACAGATCTCTCCCCTGACAGCACAAACAGGCTGCTTTAAATTGCTCTGGACAGCAGAGCAACACAAAGCAGCTTGTTTCCCTAGTAAAACACATATAACACACTTAGTAAAACACACACAGCACACAGTTAACCCTTTGATCACCCCAGATGTTAATCTCTTCCTGCCCAGTGCCATTAGTACAGTGTCAGTGCTTTTAATTATCACTGATCACTGTATTGGTGTCACTGGGCATGTCAGTGGCAGTTAGTTCCCACCCAGTGTCAGAATGCCCGCTGCGGTCCCGCAATAAGTCACTGATCACTGCCATTACTAGTAAAAAAAAAATACAAAAAAAAAAACTCCAGTATATATACACCACCATTTGTCGACACTATAACTTTTACGTAAACCAATTAATTTACACGTGTTGAAATTTTTTTTTAGCAAAGACATATGGCAGAATACATTTTGACCTAAATTTATGATGAAATTTGATTTTTTAAATTTTTTTACTGGACACAGGTTTACCAAAACAAGTCATTTCATTGTAGCTTTTGAGGCTGGTTTTTATCTCTTTAAATAACCCTCTGTTTTAACATCTTGCCAAGGACAACAACTTTGTGGGCTAACCTTCACAGTATAGGGCACCTGCCATGTTACAATGTTTGTATCAATTTTACACAGTGCTGTCAACATATACATACAGTATATCTGTTCAGTCTCTAAATGCACATAGAAAGAAATACAAAGCAAATATAAAGATGTGCTTTAACCACAAGAACAATATTTCCTGCAGCTGCAGATCTTCAAAGATGCTTTCAGAATCATCTCACAGAGGTCACGCTTCAACTCCTTGCCCAGGAGATAAAGGCTCAGGTCAATGATAAGTCTGAGAGGGCAGGACAACGAGTGTCAGCTCACCCCCATCTCTAACTTGTCATCTCATCTGGTTTCACTTTGACTTGACACATTTCTGCCTCTGTGACTGCTTATATCCTAAGGCTTCTGGGAGCACAAATTAGAACATAAACGGTCCACAAAACACATCTTTTTTTTTACAGCCTCAAACCAACTTAATGATATACAGGCGTACCTCGGTTTACAAATTTAATAATGCGTTCTGTGGGACTTTTCATGTTGCGAAAAATTCATAAACCGAAACGCGGTTTCCCATAGGAATGTATTGAAAACCAATTCATCCATGCCGGAGGTCAGAAAAAAGTGAAAAAAAAAAGTCTTTTATCTGTTCAAAACTCTTTATAAAGTGCACTTTAAAGGCATAAATACTGTATAGGGACAAGATTAAAAATTAATTTGTAAATGCATTGAAAACCAATTAATCCGTTCACATTGCAAAAAAAATTTGTAAATGCATTGAAAACCAATTAATTCGTTCTGGAGGTCAGAAAAAAGTCAAAAAAAGTCTTAACTGTTCAAATCTCTTTATAAAGTGCACTTTAAAGGCATAGTACTTTACAGGGACATAATTTTAAAAAAAATTCATAAATGCATTGAAAACCAATTAATCCATTCATATTGCAGAAAAAAATCGTAAACCAAGGCATTGTTTTCAATGGGTTTTCATTCGTAAACCAAAAATTAGGTTAACCGAGGCGTTCGTAAACCGAGGTACATTTTTTTTTTACCTTCAAGCCAACTTCCAGACAACATTTTTTTGCTTTTAAAAGGTGTGGGAATGAGTTCAAATTATTGTCAGGTTTTCATTTCTGTCTGTGACCCAAATGGGAACAGTTTCCTTCACTTCCTGTTTTTGTAACAGCCATAAAAAATGTCACTGTGACAGGAAAGTACAGAAGAACGTCTCCTTTTGCCTGTGTCCCCATTGGAGAGATATTCCCAGCACTTCCTGTCCTGGCAGGAAGTGAGGGGAAATTTCCCCAACAGGATCACAGATGGCACTAAAGGTGTTCCTTTCTCATGACTGGTAATTTTTTATTTCTTCAACTGTCCTAGTATACAAATTACAGAGTGCAACTTTACACATAGAGGATAAATTGTTTTGGCGCACCCTGCGAGAGAGTGAGGTGGTCTCTGCAGTGTATAGCAATATATATCACCAGGGGTGGACTAACCATTTGGAAACTCGGGCACTGCCCGAGGGCTCGGGGTCAGTAGGGGACCCCATGAGATGCCCCCGGTACCTTTTTCATAGGCTTTTTTGAGTTTGGGCAAGGACACAGGGGCCCCATGATCCCCTATTGCCCGGGGGCCCCATGAGTTGTCAGTCTGCCCCTGATATATCACAATGTATATCCCTACAATAGGGACTTACAAACTGGGGCAAACATAAAAGTGCATAACTAAGTCCAAGTGGAGCCCATACAAGGGTATATGAAGAGCTTGACCTAGAGGCTGCCAGCAAAAATCAAGTTTGAAAGATAAGAGAAAGAAGGCAGCGCCATCTAAGTGCAGCAATGTATGAAACCATTTATTCACATGTGGTAGAACAACTCACAAGATGAAGGTAAAAAAGAGAGGCACTTGTCCTATGTAGTTCATCCACAGTGGTCCGGAGAATAATGGCAATTCTCAGGTGTAAAGCTGATGTTCTGGGCTGTGCTGGTGGCTCCCAGCATATCCTGCTGTCACGGGAACACGACAGGGTGGAGCGCGTTTGGAGCATGCATGCTCCCTCTCCTGGCCTGAAGAGGGAGCACACATGCTCCGAACGCGTGCCAACCCATGTGACCTACGTGTCCGGAAGTGACATTGGCTCTCCCCTTCCTGGTGTACCCGTGACTGCAGGGTATGCTGGGAGCCACCAGTGCAGCCCAGAACATTGGCTTTACACCTGAGAATTGCCATTACACTCCAGACCACTGCAGATGAACTACATAGGACAAGAGCCTCTCTTTTTACCTTCATCTTGTTATACCACATGTGAATAAATGGTTTTATACATTACTGCACTTAGATGGTGCCGCCTTCTTTCTCTCAACTTTACACATAAAATCAATTGTGTCTGCACTTAGGTGTCTGTTTATGAGACTAAGATCAGCAGCAATCCTCAGGACCACTTGCCCTCCTGAGGATTTACCCCCCTTCCTGAGCAGGCCAATTTTTGTGTTACTTCGCAGTGTTTACTTTAACTGACAATTGCGTGGTCATGCAACGCTGCACCCAAATGAAATGTATGTCCTTTTTCCCCACTAATTGAGCTTTCTTTCGGTGGTTTTTATTAGCCTGTGCGTTGTTTATTTTTTTGTGCTATAAGACCAACAATTTTGAGAAAAAAACAATATTTTGGACTTTTTGCTATTAAACATGTCCAGTAAAAAATAAATTTAAAAAATCTAATTTCGTCATAAATTTAGGCCAAAATGTATTCTACAACATGTCTTTGCTAAAAAAAAAATCCCAATACATGTAAATTATATGGTTTACGTGAAAGTTATAGTGTTTACAAATGGTGGTATAGATAGTGGGAGTTTTTTTTCTACTAGTAATGGTGCCGATCAGCAACTTTTAGCGGAACTGCGGCAGACATTTTGACACTGGGGGAGAACTAACCTGGTGTCACGGACATGCCCAGTGACACCAATATAGTGATCAGTGCTATAAAAAAGTACTGACACTGTACTAATGGCACTGGGCAGGAAGGGGTTAATGTGAGGGGCGATCAAAGGGTTAGCTATGTGCTGGAAGTGTTTTACTAGGGGGCGAGGGGGTGTGCTTTACTGTAAGCACACTGATCGGGATGGCTGTGCTGTGCAGTGTGCTCGAGCTGACAGAGGAGAAGAAGACTGTAAACAAAACAGTCTTCCTCCCCGTTGGTGATTGTCGATAATCGTTGGGTGCCACGGGGTAATTAATGACCAGGACCCGGTGAATGACATCCGCGGCAGCAAATGGCGGCGCGGGTAGGTGCGCGCGTGTGCCCCCTACCCGGAAATGCGAAATCACGTATACGTGATTTTGCGCACAGGTGCCGCCCTGTAGCAGTGTATCTGCTATAGGGCGGACCTTAAGCGGTTAAAATGTATTCTGCTTAATAAACTGACAGCTGTGTGTTTTACTGATCTCGCTAGATCTCACGAGATTACAGCAACAACAGAGTTCAAAGCATTTGCAGATCCTCATCAGGAGAAGTGATCTACACTGCTTTATAAACAGGCACTCAGAGGAGAGCTGTCTCCTCTGAGAAAGCCAGAGAACAGAACAATGGTCATTTACCACTGCTTGATAAACGGACACCTTCATTTGTAAAAATGTAGCATACCTCTTTTTGGACAACATTTGCTCTCATGTGTTGTATTTTTTGTTCAGACTTTGTTTTTGGCAATATTATTATTGTAGTATAAAATCCTGCATAGGAAAGGATGCTGCACATAACATTCAGATAGCAAAATATCACCTTAGGAAGAGGCAACAGCACTGTAAATCAAATAAAGACGAGTCAAGACCCATATCTTTAATGATACGATAAAGCACGGGTGTCAAACTGGCGGCCCTCCAGCTGTTGCCAAACTACCAGTCCCATGAGGCATTGCAAGATTGAAAGTTACAAGCATGACTCCCAAAGGCATGATGGGACTTGTAGTATCGCAACAGCTGGAGGGCTGCCAGTTTAACACCCCTGCGATAAAGCATCATTACCAATAAAAAATTTTTTATATTAATATGGTGCGTGTTTTTGTGCTACACAATAGCTGCTGGAGGGTAATGAAGTACTATAGTCACGTGGAACAGCTGATGTGCAGTTGTAAACTATAGGAATTAAGCAATTATAGAAGTCAGGCCAGGCAAGATAGAAGGAAAAATTGCAAAAAAATCAAAAAAAGGGGAGTAAAGCTGGCCCTGCACTTGTAGATTTCCCTTTGCAAACTCTTGTTTTTGAAACATTTATTTGATTATCTAAGAATTTCAGGGGCCTATTTGGAAATCACTTTCAAGCAGAATTAACAGAAAAATAAAAGGACAAGGAAGCAACATTTTTATTGAATTCAAAGAGAACTAATGAATTTCTATTCATTAAAAAGACACCCCTGGAAAAATTGTAACTTGTCTTATGCGCAGGGCTGTTAAAAAATTATTACAGCATAACTGACTGGACACCCAGAAAATATCAAAACAATATTTTCACTAAAATTAGTGGACACAAACATAACATAACTTACAAAATCCCTGCTAAATCTAAAGGATAAAACTGTATTGAGTTAATTAATAAACTTTCTGTGTGTAAATTGGGTATTGGGGCTCATTCACATAGGTGCTGTGGACTGTACAGTGTGAATCAGTATTTTTCTTAAATGTGGCTATTGCTGTGTGCAGGCAATCTATGTTATGCTATGGGGAAGCAACAGCTGTAGAAACACAGCCGCAGGTCCTAATTTGACAGGCCTGTGGATGTAGGAGTATGGTCTCCAAACACTGACAGTGCGTATTTGGGGCCACTCACCCACTTGTACACTTATCAAATTAGGATCTGCAGCCGTTTCTGAACAGCCAATGAATCCCCATAGAGTATGAGACGGCTCCAGTCGCATGAACTAACTGCTCATTCACACTGTATGGTCCAGAGAGCCAGTGTGAAGTAGCCTTCACTTTTTAAATAATTGTTTACCATTTTTTAAAATTATTTTTTACAATGTGTTGTTATTTTTTACATTTTTAAAAAAATATATTTTTTACATTGTTTTACAATGCTGTTTGGGGGGGCTTGGATGAAATATCATGAGTACAAACAGATCCCTTACATCTCAACTTTGGGACAGATAAAGGAATTGAGGACACAGATTCTTCAATTCTTTTCTCTGCAGTCTCAGCTGCACTGAAGATGAATAAACAGAAGACAGAGACTCCTGTTCATTCATTAAACTGAAGCATAGTAAACACAGTTTACTATGCTTCAGTTATGAATAGACACAGGAGCGATCGGTACCAATCACTCACTGTGTGGATTCACTAAATGACCTCTCCATCCTGAACATTCCCCTGTGAACCCACAGCAGCTGGCTGTAGAGGGAAGCTGAGGGGGAGGGGACACAAAACAGGAGGAATCAGATGTGGGCAAGACAGGGAGAGGGATTGGTGTTGCGGGGGGTGCAATTACAGGAATGATGCCCTGTGTGTCTCTCCCTGCAGCATCTGAAAGATAATAGAAAGGAGAGGGGAAGAAACTGTCTTTTAATTCCTGCACATAGCCAAAGAGGTCGTTGAAAATCAACCCCCCCCCCCCCCCCCCCCCCCCCCCCAACGCACACCAATCTCCTTCTATGTCCTGCCCACATCTGATTCTCCCTGCTGTCTGCCCCCCCCCCCCCCCCCCCCCAATAAGGGCCCCCTTATTGGTGGCCCTATTTCAAAGTTAATCCGGATTGTCAACTGAAAATCGAGACCTTGACATGGTAATTGAATGAAAATGAGGTTTGAAAAGAGTTGAGTCCATGATAGAACCATTGAATTTTTGGACAAATGGTTTTGATTGTTTCTTGTCTGAGGGTTGAAGCGGAAATCCACATGTATAAGGCCATCTGTAGGGGTAGGGTAGGAATGAGGAAGGGGAGTACAGGGGAGGGAAGATAAGGTACCCCCTCCTTGGCCAGTGACCCACCAGGTAGATATGCTCCTAGACATCATAGGAATTTCTTATCAAAGTATCATAAGTATGAAGAGAGATCTGTAGAGGATTAAAGTACTCCAATTGGAACCATGCTATTTGATTTGGTCTGTTCTCTTCCCTAAAGAACATTATTTCAAAATATTCAGTCTTTCCCAACTCACACATCCAAAGGGTACAGCAAGCCTCAGCATAATAGTTTCGTAATAAATGGGTGTGCCTCAATGGCAGGTGATGCAGGAGGTTCTTTTTAGGTTTAGATTTTTGACTACATTATTTTATTACAGAGTGATGCAAGAGTATTTCCTAAACCTTGTGCTCATGATCTTATTGTACATTTTCTGCATCTTGTCCCAAAAGGGTGCAATAAAGGGGCATTTATTCCAGACATGGGTCACTGTGCCTTTGTCTTTAAGACATCTTCAGCATAAATCTGAGGTTGTAGGGTCAAGGATTTGGAGGTCCACAGGGTATATTTGCCAACCAAGGATGATCCTATAATTTCATTTCTGAAATTTGGCACATATGGACAGAACGGCACTTATTTAGGACTAGAATGGCTTTCTGTACCTGTGCATAGCTTAGGTGTCATGACACCTAATAGGATTATGAACATTGACCTTGATTTACTAAATAAGCACAGCATGTCTACTTTCAAAGTAAAGTTTTACAGTTCCTAATTAATGAGGTGAGGTT